TCCATCCAACCTCTGTAAATAGCCAGGAGGAACCACAGGAACAGGAACATGACGGAAAGGAAGGGGGTGGGGGGGGGGGGAAGGGGGGGAGAAGACACCACAAAACTTGTATGTATTTTACCTCCCCAGCCTGTGGAGGCGCGACCTCGACAGTTTCAATCACCAGAGGTTGCTTGGCTCCCCATGCCACCGCCGCTGCCACATCAGTCACATTCATTACCCAAATCAGTCACACCACCGAATCATCAGAAGGACAAAATGGCCAGTTCAGACATGTGAGTGGGCGAGCCAAATCAGTCACAAAATGCCTTAACACAGGAGGAACCACAGACTCACAGAGCATCAGCAAAAAGAACACCATAAAAACCAGCAAAATGGCCCAGCCAGGGACAAATGGGCCCACAAGTCAGGGGGACAAATGGGACCACAAGTCAGGGGGAAAAATGGGACCACACGTCAGCAGAAATCAGACACAAAAAATGTGTCTTACCCATGGACCATGGAGGGTCGGCATTCCGGAAAAATAATCCCAATGGTGTTGTTTGTTTCAACTTGCTTGACGTTTGCTTTTTCCACTAATTAGTAATTAGTAATTAGTAATTAGTAATTAGTCAATCATTTTAAGTCAATCACATATAATAAAATGACCTGGAACCAGGGCTGGTCGCCGGATGGACCGGGGACCTCCTACCCCGTCCGCGGTCCTTGCGGTTGGACCGGCCGGTGGCCCGGGCCGGTTCCCTCCCGGTTGCCCCCAGCGCATTTTCGCTGGGGGCTGAATTTTTTTTTTTGTCGGCACGTATGTGTTCCCAAGGCCTCGTGGGGGCGGGCCCTGCCCCGCAATTTCGAAACCGGGTCCTGAAGGCCCGGATTTTTCAAGTACAAAAAGTGGCCAATCTTGGCCGCCGATCGTCGCAGATCAGCGGCAAAGATCGGCCAGGACCCCATTTCTATAAGAAAAACGGGCAGACGATATCCGCCGCTGATCTATGCAGATCAGCAGCGGAGAACAGCCATGCGTTTTTCCTAAGATGTGGGTCGGGTAGGCCCCTAATCCAATTTGTCATCTTGTGGTCCAATGGACCAGTTACCATTGGCAACATCTGATGCTCTTTCACCATCAGCCACGAGGGAAACACTATGCTTCTGATGAGACTCTGCCGAGATTATATCCTTCTGCGATGTCCCTGCCATCTGTGGAAAAACGTTATGGGTTCGGATTTTGGAATTGTGATTTGAGAGCCGTCCGAGGTGCAATCCCAAGAATGGACCTAAAATACAGGGCGTTGCTGCACTACTCTCGACATGCACAAAAGACAAAAATCTTGGCGGTGTATCTTTCCGAATTCCAGCGGAAGATTCACTCTCGTTTTGCACATTTCGAGAGTAGTGCAGCGAGGCCCATATTCTTCTCTCTGTATATCTCGAATGGACCTTGCTCCACTACATGTATCTGGACAGACTGGCAGACAAGATACTTCCGGACTGACAACTCACCTTATGTAGGAACCAACAAACAGAAAACGCTCTGCCTCCACGAGGAGAAAGCTGGAACCATAACTTTTCTGCTGTCGAAATATACTCTGGAAGAGCTATAATTTCGGGCAAGGACCTCCTCTCATCATATCTGGTTCAGCTCGTGGGGTATCAATATCAAATGACAT